ACTCTGAATGGATTGGACAAAGATCAAAATGGATATTTCCGGTGAAATATGATAATCGAAAATTTTCGCGATTACAATACTTTCCTGCCGCTCAGACGGTACAGTGGTTAGGGGAGCCGCCTGCGATACCAAAGGGCCCGGGTTCGAATTCCGAAGAAGGCATGGTTGTAACTGTCCGACCTTCATAGGAGGCAAAGATGGCCCACGTAAGGTGCCTCTTTCTTTGGTGCCTCCACAATAAACTAACCACCACTCCAAGCCTTAGTAGCGGCCAACCTGAAGTCCGCTGAGTGCTCGCCATTGGTAAAAAATAAATAAATAAATAAAACTTTCATTTATTTTGTACAAAGAAATAAAAATTGCTCCGATGATGCCACTATGCCACAAAGCATAGTGGGATTATTTTCACACCAAAAACAACAATTTTGTTTGCTAACACATCGAATCAAGCAGAAATGAGCTTCAACAGAAAAGATAACTTTTTACCCAAAGTTACAGTTCTTGAATTGTGTGTCTATCATTGACGAACTGTCAGAGCATGTTAAACACAAATAAAAATTAGTAACATTGATAACATTTTAAACATGGCTGCCATTTCGTTTTAAATTATATCATTCTTACTGAAATATCCTATACAAAGCTTTTCTGGTGGCTGTTTCGCTCTGATAACAAGAAACCAATTTCTTCCTAACTTTGTTTATGGTTATAAGAGGTTTCAGTCAGTATGTAAACACCTTATTTTATTCTAGCCAATTATTTTTAGTTTTAGGAACTTTGCTTTTCCTCCTGATTTCAGTTTTCTACCAGAATGTAAATTTTAATAACGTAGTATGCAAATCTGAGTGAGTTGAAAACAGTATTTAAGCAGCAGTGTTAAAAGAGTTAGTTCCGAATTTATGCCGCGTGTTTAAAGTAGCTCTTTACGTAAAAGAGGATGCTGCGAATGTTCCCTATTAAACAACGAGTTTCAAATATTTCATATCTGTTTCTAAAAATTCGTTTGTCGAGAAGGAAGAAGAAAACGGGAATTTCCTAAAACAAGTGAAGCATGATAGAAACGCCTGGAATAAGAGCTTGATACATGTTTAGAGTGAAAAACATGACTTCTTTATAAACTCCACAGTATTAGTGAGCAAAAGGTGAGATGTCATGAAATTCTAGTCATTTAAATTGGAATTTTGACCACTTGAACATGGATACTGTAATTTATTTGAGAAATTTAGTCAAAGACGTAACTGTGATCACAAAGGCAGAAAATTTACAATTGTTGCATTATGTGCAGAAATCCAAGCCTGTAGTTTAATAGTTTTCCGTTAATGCTAATTAATTAAATATGTTTTGTAGATCATCATATATCAGTCTGCATATCAAACACTTTTGTCTTGGTTAAGTTAATAACACATTTAAAATAGTTCCTATACTGTATTATGAATTTATGTTAACTAAATTAAATTTAAAAAAATGGAAACTACTGAAGTAAATCGAAAATATATTTAATTTTATCTGGCCTAGAGAGAAGAATAACTAATTCGGATAACTGAAATTCTTAATAACTGAAGTCCGGGTAATTGGTCATCTACAGTACCAGGCCAGGGAATTTTAAAATTAAGGGGGGGAGACAGAAAACTTAAGACTGGCGTAGATTTTCAATAAAACTATCTATTTTGAGAGACAGCATTTTTGCTTGAAAAATATATGTGTCTGATCGTTCTCGAAATCGATAGTGTTTTTTTAAAAAAATCTACATCAATGTAATGTTACCCTTCGCCTAATTTTAAATATTATATTGGCGTTTTTTCTTCTAGTTAGGTTCGAAATAGTTTTTAATTTACAAGGGTTGTTCGCACATTTTTTAATCAAATTTGCTTTGGTATAAAGAAAATCGTCCGCTTGGAAATCTTTTTTTTAACTACAATTATGTTTTTCAAAGTCTAAGTTATCATTTATTACTCGACGTTTAATTTCCATGAAAAATGCCGCTTGTAAAGAAGCAATAGATGGAAGGCTATGTTTGTGCTCTTTCTGAAGAAAATAATTCTTGTCTAGTTTTTAGGAAACTCTGAAAGCAGTGATTTTTCGATATCTAAAGCTACGATAGGTAATATGGTTAACAAGAAAGGAGATCGGCTTCAAGTGCGAAAATTGTTCCAAATACACATCCAAGTCAAAGGCAAGTCAAAGGGCAGCTGCAAAATCATTAAAATGCTCAGTGTGAACTGTAAAAAAATAATTAATGCTGATTTGAATGTTAAAAAGGCGAAAAAACATAACGCGCATTGCTGTTCTCCACGACATATTGCCGAACGTAGAACAAACACACTGAAGAATTTTTTATGGGAAATATTTATCAGCACAAAAATGGAAAATGTTGTAACAGTAGATGAATCATGGGTGCATTTAAATGACTGCAATAAAAAGAGATCCATTTATTATAATCATCAAAAAGGAGGGAAAAAAAATCTTAAAACATGGTTCAAAGAATCTAAAGAAAGTTTTTCAGAGGGATTTATGATTGTTGCTGGTTTTTCATGTAATGGCAAATTGAAAATAGAGAGAGTTTTGAAATATTTTAAGATAGTAATTCCACATGTTACCAGGAACGTATTTTATACCTAATTTTCAAATGTGAAATACCTTCTCTTTACCCACAGCGCCATCAGTCAGTAGGACTACATCAAGACAAAGCAAGCAGGCGCACGTCAAAATTCACTGTTAATTTCTTCGGGGAAAGGGGGAGGGGCAAGGCATACCCTTCACTCATATCTCTACTAAATCTTCTGATATATAACCTATATATTTTTGCGCTTTTCGATTTCTGATAAGCGAATCGCCCCATTTTTTTTTTTTTTTTTTTTTTTTTTTTAATTTTAATTTTAGGTAAAAAAATATCTGGAAATACAATAAAAATCGTCTAGAAAATGTGCGAACAGCCTCGTAATATGCAAATTTATAGATGATACTGTTGCATAGTCTCATTTATCGGCAGATAATTCTTTTATAATTCATAGTCCGATATTAAAAAAAAATGCTGATAGTTTTATGGACAAAATCACCAGTGTGATTTAACAATTTGAGATACAAATTTTTCCAGCATTTTTATTATTTACTAATATTTTACAAACTTTACTCATTAATAATCGGTTGGCATATTTTAAAAACGAAATACTTTTTAAATTAACGAGATATTTATGTTTTTGAGAGTTCGAGATATTTATGTTATATCTTCTTAATTAACGTTGATTTTCCCTGCTTTAATAATGTTCAGAGGGGAATGCACATTAACCAAACATGAAATCACGATATCCCGATGTATGTATATTTATTCATACTGATATGTTTTCATTTCTAGAACAAAAAAATGGGAAATAAAGCATAGTTAAACTACTTTCAGATTTGAATTGAATGAAAAAAGTTCAATTTTTTCAAGCAACGCAGTGAAATATAGTTATTTTTTGACTCGCTAGTAGAGGAATTTTGATGTTAATGTGATTGTGACAGTTGTATAATTACAAGATATGTAATAAAAGAATAAATGAGGAATATATTAATATTCATTTTTTATTCGTTTATTTAAATGGAAACATGAAACATAAAAATGACAAGAGCAGTCAATACCTGTCGTGTAACGGTTTTCCTCATCTGAGCCTAATTATTTGCTTGAGAACAATAGTTTTTATTTATAATTACTCTAAAATCATTTATTATTAGCTACATATTCAACTACATAGTTTTAAGTCTGTTTTTTCTAGATATACTTGTTATACTATAAATATCTTATAAAAATTTCTCGTAAGGTATTGCTTATTAAAGACTCATTTTTGCAAAACGAAGTCAAAAACTGCCATTAAAACTCAAAGTTCCTTCCCCTAAACTGCAATTTAAAATGAAATGCTGCGACTTAACGTAAAATTTCGTGATTCATAAAACATTTTCCCTCATTCTTTAGTGTTTATATTACCTTAAAAATTGATTTTACATACATTTTTATTACACCAGGGATAGGTGTTGTTGTTAAAATAAGCTGCTTATAATTGCGTGTGGGTTTTAAAGAAAAAGCAGTTACAATTTTTTTTTTTTTCAAATGTATTGCAAACTTTTCTTTCAAATACATTGCGAATACTTCAAATTCATTGTAGTAAATAACAAGATAACAAGGCAGGGATAACGTCATTGCATTGTATTTTAAACTAATCGTTACTGCTGAAATGTCGATTAGTTTAATAAATTTTGAAAAACATCTTTTGATATATATATTATTACTGTAATAAATCCTTAAATTAATTCCCAACACGAAAGGGGGGAATACCTATTTTACCAAAATATTAAACTGCTGTTCCTTAGGAGGAGCAATAATTGCATAAACACTGAAAAGGCATCAGTTTATCTACAGAAAGGGAGGGAAAAGTGCTCGTGTAAACTACCTGTCCTATGCTTTTTGCCATTAAACTGCTATTTTTCTCATATCAGCGTTAAATACATAAATACGTTAAGGAACTAGTTATACTTTAAATCTAAACGTAAAGAATCTCTGCTGATGCAGTTAAAGTATTTAGTACATATATTTTAAAATTGCAATCAGTGATATGTTTTACTTAAAGCTAATTTCAATGGAAAAAAAAAATAAATGTTTCGTAGTTATTATGTTTAAAATGTTTTGTTACAGAAAAACTGCGTTCAGGCGTTTTGATAAAAATACAAGAATATATATTAACACATTTGTATATTCTCTTCGAACCTGTTAACAATTAAAATTTTGATATGGATTCATAATATTACTGCAAGATAACATACATATATTTAAATCAATAAATTTCAAATTAAATTCACCATTTATCAATTATTTCAAGACTTAAAATTTAAAACTTTTTTCATGCAGTGCATACAATTTCTGGAAAGCAGATAACAGAAAAATTTATTGCTAATTAAAATATCGATATTAATTAAAATATTGAAATTAGTCAAAAACCTATCGAAATTCAATTTCAACAAAATAATCTTACCTGTTTTTTGCCGCCGCCGCTCGGTCCCTTTGTCGACGATTTTTGAACCAGTTCCCGACCTGTGTCGGCGTCAAACCCGTCGCTTGGGCAAGTTCTCGCTTTTTGGTAGGATTTGGATATGGATCTTGTAAGTACCATTCTCTCAGGAGACTTCTTGTTCTCTCTTTGAAACAATGGGTCTTTTGTTCTCCATCCCAAATCGTTCGTGGAAGAGGATACTTCTTCCTCACTCTGTACTTATCCACTGGCCCCAGAGGCCTTCCTCTTAACTTTTCAGCCTCTTGATAATGAGCTTCTAACCACATAGCTTGGAGTTTGGAATGGGATACCTTAGTGAAACGATGACTTTCAAGGATACCATACAACTCCCTGAAATTTCCTGTATGGAAAGCCACAAGGGCCCGAGCCCTAAGGACTGATTCGTTTTTGTTGAGTTCGGCACAGTTCGGATGAGCTACTGGCAAAGACCACAAAAAACGTCCAAGTCTTTCAATGTCTCCACTGTCCTCTAGAGTTTCGCATACAGCGGCTACTTGGCTAATTGTAAAGTTAAGCATAGGCAAGTATGCCATAGGATTGTAAGGTGAAATGGGAGTTGGCTGGCTGAGTCCTAGGGCCATTGGAATATTGTATTTCATGAGAATTCAGTAGCTCAAATGAAGAGATCGAGTAACATGCAAAACGTCTGCCTTGACGGTGAGTTACAAATCTTCAGTATGTTTCAGAAGATTCAGATACTGATTTCGAGAGTCTTTGTTTAATAAATCAAATGTTCCTTCACCCTGCAACGTAAAGTTCAAGAACGTTACAGGGTATCACAATATTACTGGCATTCAAAATAAGTAATAAAAGTAACATAATATATTGTTGACAGATCACCATAACTGAATCTTATTTGTTCTTAATAGTCGCCATTTATTTCTTGAAATTTTTCATTTGTAAGTTTCAAAGTATGAAAATCTTTTTCTTGCTGTTTTCAGAAATGATAAATTGTAATTTTATTAATTCTTAACGTATTCTACGTCTTTTATAAATCAAGCATACAACCGCTTGTTTTATGACACATTTATTATTAAAATATTAATGTATTAGCAATAAATTACGTCTTAAAGTAAGCAATTCGTGCAAGAAAAATTGTTTCAGGCACTTTTGGAAAATTGTTGGTAAAAGCAAAATAAAATTACCGCTTTGCCCAGTGCTGCCACAAATTTAAAACGATCGTTACTTCTAAGTGTTCTAAACTCGCCGTTCTGTCAGGAGGAAAAAGATCGCACGTTCGCTCGCTGCGGACGATGCCCGTAAATGATTCGTCCACTCTGAGAGGCGATCGTGAAAAGAAAACGAGTTATCAAAATTCAGGTCTCGCTTGTAGCCCGAAGACGGCAGAATCTGGGTTTCCGACTTTTAGGAGTGGTAACTGAGGAGTCTAGTGATCCCTTATAGGTTACCGAGACTTCGACAACGCTATTAGCCATAAACGGAAAAGAAGAGGAGGGGCCAGGAGTCGTATCCATGGCCAGGCGCGTAACGTGATCTCATTTGCTGGCGTCAGGCTGAGGAGGCGATTCGATTGGGCGAGAGACCACGCCAATCAATGTCTCCATGCCAATCACCGCGTTATGGAGACGGCACAGCTCTTTCGCAGCTGCAGAAACTGGAGTTTAGTTCGGGAAGTTTTTTAGTTTGTTTTGTTTTTATGTTGTCTTGTTAATCCCACCGTCTGTTCTGGCCGAAATGGTGCGCGCATGCAGAAAAGCGCAAGGAGTATTTGATTGTTTTGCTGCGTATATGCGAGTTATCCTTATGATACAAGGATTTTGTAGCCAAAGCTTTTATTATAAATTATGTTTAGTTTTCTATCTTCAACGAATAAAAGCAGAGTAAAGGTGGAAAATTTTTTATTTCGGATTTCAGTAAAAATAAAAGAGACATTTCTCAACAGATCCCCAGAATTTCTTAATAGGAGTTTTGTGTGATAAATTAATATCTAACTTGAAATTTGCAGAAAGCAGTCTAATACTCTGAAGAAAAATTTACCATCACGATTTTTTAAATTAAAAAGATATGATTTTTTTAAAATTTAATTTGAAAAATCATGCAGATATTCCTTTTATTTTTTTTCATAAAAATAATATCTACTGCTGCCAACTCATAAAGGTAAATCTTTATTCTTAAGTGACATTAAAACTCAGCTGAAATGAAATTTCGGTTTTAAATGCCGTGGTGCCACGTTTTTTAAGATAAAAAGGCAGTAGAAATTTATCATAATGTTAAAAAACGTATTATCGTTTGAATGAGTTTAAAAAAAAAAAAAAGAAAAAGAAAAGAAATATAGAAATGGTTGTTATGTGTGGTGGCGTACAAAGGCGAATGCGAAAGGGGCCTCTCATCGGGGAAGGGGGAAGGGCCTCTGAAGAACGTTAAATTTTTAAGTATATATACTTACATACACGAATATAAAAGTATGTAAATATTAAATAAATCAGTCCCTTATATTTGACACAAAATACCCTCTTTGACAATGTGCGTTTCAATTGTTTTCTTGTGAGAGACATTTTTCGAAGTTGATGTTGATTAAAAGCTCATTTCGATTAACAATCAGGCTTACCGGTTTCGCTATCCTTTCGATTAAACATGCAGTAGCTGAAAACATAAATTTTGACGAAGCTTTAAAAATTTTTAATAAGCTCTCAAAAAAGTTTTTGCTTTATTAGTTCAAAGGAGCAATTTGCCCAGAAGGACTATGAATTTCGTTTTGGCATTTTGCGCTGATTCACTATAGTGTTTCCCTTTCAGATTGTTGCCACCAAATATTATCGCCATGTATTATATTAAAAGAAATTAAATAATGAAGAATCTGCATAAATGTATCTATGTTTTTCGCATTGTGATAAGCCAACATGACCTAGAGCCATCAAATTCTGAATAACGTCATCCTCCCGTGAATATGGGCATCTGGAAGCCCAAATTTGAAATTTGTTCGTTATCGATTTCATATTTTGTAAACCTTTAACGAATTATTGATTAAGAAACTCAAGGATTTCAAAATGAGCAATGACAACGTTGTAAAAAAAAAAAAAAAAAAAAAAAAACTTTTTTTTTTATCTCCAGCGCGCGAGACTGTGTCTCATATATTCTAAAGATATGCTCATTTAAAAATTATTTTGCAATATATTGCCCTTGAACTGAATTTTATCGTTTACGTGCGAAGAGCGGGTGGTATTTAATAAATAAAGGCAACACACAAAATGATTAAAAAAAAAAAAAAAACACTCCTTTGTACGTAATTTAAAATCTGAAACCTTCCAGATTTTTGTTATTATTTTTTATTGACAGAATAGTTAAAAAAGCTTTTCAAAACATCAAAAGGGCCAGATTAATACGCTTTTTATAAATATTTGTTTTTTTGCTAGGTGTAAGCTGTTTTTTTTTTTTTTTCTTTAGTCTTATAATTTTTTGTCTTCCAAATCATTTTAATTACTTAATTTTACTTAAATAAATGTTGATTATCTATTTGTGTTCACATTTTGTATGGTAATGATTTATATAAAGGGATCCCCAGGCAGATTTCCGCTCCGGGCCTCGTTAGCTGTAAGTCCTCTACTGCTTATCTAACTACAAAATTTCGTCCTCGTTCGGATTTATTTTGGAAGCAGACGTTACTGCCCATAAACAGCACAATAAGATAATTTACAATCGAAGATATTAAAATCGTACCTTTTTTATAAAACGTAGGGAATTCAGCAACTTTTCTAAAACGTTAAGAAGAGTATAGACAAAATTTACTTTTCAAATTATTCAGTGTGTTATACTGATGAGCAATAGTTTTATAACATCAATGTAAAGTGCAAGAATTTATGCATGATTAATTGGCAACAAAGTGAGCTGTGTTTGTTTATTTATAGCAGATAGTATTTAGTCGCTAACTGTAATCTTCAATGTGTTAATAATGATTGTACTGAGCAAATTTACCCAACAGCTAACACGTCATTAAATTCTAAGTTGAAAGATGGCAGTTCTCCATTTGAAGGAACGATGACAAGTGCAATAGAACTTTGAAAAGTCGGAATTTTTAATAAAATTCAAAAGAATGACAAAATTTAAAATACAATGTTAACGTTAGCTTTCCTAAATAAGTCAAACTTTCAGTTACGTAAAAGTTTCCACCCTCCCGCTTCTCTTTCTTCAATTTGGACTTATCGAAGTTCATCTGTAAAATATGGATTATTAATTCGTTAACATAATTTTAAAATCAAATCCTGGCTAAATGCCTTGAGCGAAATTTTTATACATAGATCACAAGCGTCTGGATATTGTATTCATAATAAAAATACTAAAAGCGGCAGATTTAGAGAACTTGAATTGAACTAGCACGGAGGTTCTCAACCGGGGGGGGGGATTTCATAGTTTCAGGAGGAGACGCGGTCAGCCTTTTATTTACCTGCTAAGTATTTAGCTTTAGTTTAGGAATATAAAGAAGATATTTTTATTAAATTTTGGTATTTATCAACGTTTTATGTACATTTTTGTTGTTTAATTTATAAAAACCACGTTAAATTTAAAATGTATATAGATTTTTCGAGTTTTGTAAGTGACGTGGGGAATAGTCTTGTAGATGATCTAGTTAAAGGAGCAAAACAGGTTGAGAGCCATTGAACTAAGGTCTTTTTAAGCAATGGGGTATTAGTGGCGAATCACGTATGTTTTATGATGATGTCAAATTTGGAAATGTAAATGAATTAGATTGCATTAAGGAAAGTTTGAAAACATTTTCCGTAATGTTAGGTAACTATACCAACAAAAGAAGTCTGTGTCTGACTTATCTTACTTGCCTGACAATGGCATCAGCACAAGCCCACGAAATTCATCGTGACAAGGAGTGCACGATTGCACCTGTCGTTGGCAAGAAAGAGCCTTAAGCACCATACAGGTGACCCTAGCACAGGTCAAGCCCCGGACCTGTGGCAAAGAAAGTCTATGTACATATTCTTTGCCTGTGGTGCTGCTGCTCCACGCATCAGCCTCGGGGTCACAAAAGAAGTTGTACTGTCTGTCTACGAGAAGAAAAGCTCCCGCCACAGTGTCTGGCGGGTGGCGGTCGTTATAGCAACAGGGCTAATATATTTCATATAGAACGGACTTTCTTTGCCAAAGCAAAGAATATGTATGTAGACTTTCTTTGCTAAAGGTAGCTTTATTGTTGTTTTGTTTTTGGCGACTGTTGGTAGAGGGGAAAAGAGCTATCTTTCGTCTTCAAGACACCCCTAAGGAAAATGGGTTAAGGCTCGTTTCCACGGCAACAGACAGCTGAAGACTAACTGGCGAGAGCTTTTCTTATGATAGATTGTAGACAGTTTGATATCAACGTTCGTTTTGCAAAATATAAATATTTTAAGATTCATATTTTAAATACTCTAGTTAAAGGTAAGTAATTTAGTAAAATAATTACTAAAATACACACTATATTGTACTATATACTATATTGTATACATACTGTATACAATATATAATAATTAATAAATTACTAAAAGAGTTTAAATTAAAATATATTAATATTTTAATTTAGAGTTCCAATGATATTCCTGCGATTCTAAGAAACATTACAATTAGTTTCAAGAAATTTTAATTCAGATCTAATAACAGACGTATTGTATTTGCTCACAGAATTCCCTCAGCGGACTTTTACCAGTGTGTAGCTAAAAGAGGCGAATAGGAGCGGCGCGTCCCGGGAGGAGCATTTTTGAAGGCGCCAGCATTATTTTCTCCTTGAAAAATTATTTTATAGGTTTAATGGTGAATCATTAAGAATAACGTGATTCTGAATTGCCATATGGATTTAAATTGGGAAGTAAACTGATTTTTGTTCTAAATATAGTATTCAAAGAAATCAGTACGCAATTTCAACATTTTAGGTTCTTATTATAAAAAATCGTTTAATATGAAATACAAATATTCAACTAAATTATGATGATGGTGACATTAATAAGGTAGAATTAACTGTTAAAACAGAAGTAATTCAGAATTTATTTCTCTGGTGGCAATGGCAAAGGCAAACGAATGGGAACGTCCAGAAGAAGGACGTAGATTTTCGTAGTCTATTTTAAAACACAATCTCAAAAATCCAGTTCCAGGTATTATAATATCAAGCGAATTTTCTTCAAGGTTACTGTAGCTGCACGTTGTGAGAAGAATTTTCCTGAGCAAAACGTATTATCACTCTTTTGTGTAAACATCAATTGGAGCAATCAACTAGACATCTACAATGCCTTCATCGATGATTTAAAGATGAAAACAATAATAATAATAAAACTCAATTTTAAAAAAAACTGAAAGC